ACGTCCTCGACCTTCTTCTACGAGGTCACAAGATGGGAAGACGAAACCCTTGGCGCGCGATGGTGGAAGGACAAGGTGAGCGGGCACTGGGAGCCGATGGCCCAGTCGAGAACGGCGTTTGCTCTAGACGAGGCAATGGCCGTCTACAGCCCTCCGGACCGCAAGTTCTTCCTTGCCAAGCGGTCACCTGGGCAGGTCACCTTTAACAGACTCCCTGAGAAGGAACAAGAGTTTTTCTACAAGAGTCGCCTGAAAGAGATCAAGACGCTTCTCGAGAGCGGCGCCATCTCCATCCTCTCGCCCACGGAGAGTCGAAAGTTCCGGGCAGAACATCCTGACTACATCCTGGAATCGAAGTTCGTCGACAGATGGAAGCCGACCGAGGAGTTCACCGCGTTGGCCGAGGACTTCGACCCCAGCGAGTTCCAGGAAGGCGAGGAGAACGCGGCCGCACCCAAGAGCCGCTGGTGCGTGGTGGGGTGGCAAGACCCCATGATTACGAGCATCGAACGAAGTGCACCGACACCTCTCTCGAGTTCAGTGTACCTGGCATTGCAACTTTCGGCAACTAGGAAGTGGCCTATCTACATCAAGGATGCCAAGGCGGCCTTCACTCAGGCACTGCCCACGACCCGCAAGCAGCTTCTTGCGTGCACCCAGCCGAAAGATGGGCTGTTCCCAGGATGCACGGCCGACCAACTCATCTTGCTCCACACTGAGGTCTACGGACTTGTTTCCGGCCCATCGTGGTGGCGGCGATCTCTCTTGGAGGTGCTGATCTCTGATTTGGGATACCAGCTCAACCCCTTCGACAAGTGTGTCCTCACGCTGCCACAGGAGCCGGACTTACCACGACCATCCTCGTCGACTTCTTCGTCAGCTATAGAAACCACGAGCTCTACAACGTTCGCGACTAAGAGGGCGACCACCACTACGACTTCTTCAGCCACGAACTCCAAGGCAGAAGGCAAAACTCGTGGCGTAGTGGTTATCCAAGTCGATGACCTGCTGGAGTCGGGAGATGAAGAACACCGGCGAAGGATGC